TTATTAAACTGAAAACTTTCACATTTCACTTAAAGGAAGCACTGTACAGCTCTTTGGCATATCCGAATTGCCAGCATCATGACTCTTGTGCTTTGGGGCCATTATTAAGTAAAATAAGGGGTACTTGAACACAAGCACTACCATACCTCCACAGTCTGTCTGATAACCGAGATGGCTACTAAGTGACTAACAGCTGGGTAGCAGCGTACACAGCGTGGATACACTGGACAAAGGGATATTTCACGTCCCAGGAGGGACGGAGTGGGACAGCGAGATATTACATCACACTACACAGAACAGTGCACAATTTAAAACTTATGAATTGTTTATTTTTGGAATTTTCCATTCAATACAGGCATACCTTGAAGATACTGCAGGTTTGGTTCCAGACCACTGCAATAAAGCAAACATCTCAATAAAGCAAGTCACATGAATTTTTTGGTTTCCCAGTGCATGTAAAAGTTATGTTTACACTATACTGTAGTCTCTGTAAGTGTACAATAGCGTTATGTCTAAAAAAAAGTATATGCCTTAATTTAAAAATATTTTATTGATAAAAAATGCTAACCATCATCTGAGCCTTCTTCCCCAATAGACTTGTTCGACATAAGGTTGCCAGAAACCTTCAGTTTGTAAAAAATGCAGTATTTGTGAAGCACAGTCAAATGAGACACAATAAAATGAGGTATGCCTGTATTTTCAGACCACAGTTGGCCGTGGGTAACTGAAAGCACAGAAAGTGAAACTGCAGATAAGGGTGCGGGGGGCGCTACTGTAATACATAGGTTAATAGTTTTTTCTTTTTATTTTTTTCCATGTCTGTGTGTTGGGGTTGGTGGGGGCTATGCCTACTTCTCGTTCTAAGCCTTGAGTGTTCTCATGCTCACAATCACCCTATCAGTGCTGCTTCTTATTTCTGAATTCACAATAGGGTGTAAGTAATGAGACTATGAAATGCTACCCCGTGCAGGAATGGTGGTTGATTTCTAAAGAGTTGGAACCAGAGATTCAATCTGCTCAGGTTCTTTGACTCAGAGATGTTACCCAACATCCAAGGCTGCCTGAGATGAGGAGCAAATGGAATGCTTAAATGGAATAAGTTTCTGTCATCTTTGGTCAACCTGCTGGCTCTTGCTTCAAGACTGTCCCAATGGAGTTAATGTAGAGACACAGCATTGGCCATGGATAGCTCCGTAGAAGCTCACGTGGACACTTTTGTGCCCCTAGCACATGAAGAAATACAGTCCTCAGACCTGGATTTACCCTCCTGAGCCTCCTTTAATTTTTCCATGGCGTCAATTAAAAAACATTGATCCCTCTTCCGCCATTTGTGCTTCTTTCCTTTTTTTCTCCCCAACCTGTGATTTACTCTCTCCTAATGATCTTCAGTAGAATATAGACTAAACCAGTAGAATATATTCTAAATCCTTGGGCTCATAGGAAAAAAAAAACCCTACAAATATTAGTTTCACTAAAGATGAACTGAATCTATGGTCAGGAAGTGATTATTATAACTCCTTCTTGCTATCCAGTAGTTGAAAGTCCACTATCTAATCTGTGCACCTCTAATTTAAGGAGATGATCCGTGATACCTGTTCAATTCACTGTTTTAAGTGGGGCTAGAACACATTGTGCACAAGAGCTGACTTGAATCCTTTCTTGTGAGGAAGTAATGGCTCAGAAAGACCTTGGCTGAACTTCATACATATTCATTTAATCAGGAACGTGCTTTTGCAGAAGTAATAAAGTACCTTCTAGCCTTAGTTTTCACGTATGTAAAATGAGAATAGTAACTAATGAAATAGTTTTGAGGATTTACTCATTTTGGGTAATATAAGTGGCTATTGCATTCTTGGTATAAGGTAGATGCTTAATTAATGCATGTACCTTTCCCCCTTTTTGGACTATATACTCTGTGAAGACTCAATTTATGTTTTCTGTTCCTCCTGTGGCTTCCCACAGTACATTACAGTTATCTACATATGGCAGTTAATGTTTACTGAATGATGCTATCTGATTAATATGGGATTTAGTAAAGGAAGGTAAGTGGGTGGCTAGCCCCAGCCACCATGGGCTTGGCAGGTGTGTATCTTTCAGAACAGAAGCACCTGGGGGAAGCCTGATGTCTGTTGCAGGCATGAGCACCAGTGTGTGATTAAAGTTAAGTGCTAACAAGAGAATCCAAGGTTTTTGTTTTATGCTGAGCTTGTGCTGTGATTTGATCCTAGTTAGAATCAGGACAAGGGCACCACAAATGAAAGACTGAGAGAATTTATTGAGTGAGGAGATGTAATTTACAGATTTATGGTGAGATGGATCCAACTTGATTTATAGAACAAAACTGCACATACCCCTCAATGGCGTTAAGCCCTTGGTAACAGGACACCCAGAATCCCTCAGTAAAGACAGCTAACTTTTTGAGCCAGTTGTCAAACAATGTAAATCATGGAGACCCATGCCCATGTTCTGCTCAAAGATGTAAACTAAACAAGCACAAACATAAGATAATAAATAAGCAGCACATGGGCATTGTGTGTAAGAATAGAGGTCATCCAAGTTGTGTGGCAGTGAGAGCTTGAGGACATTATAGTTGGATGTTCATCAAATGTAGTTTAGAGCCCTATGTGTTTCTTGCATCTCTTCTCAAGGTGACCCAGGAAGGGAGCTGAGCCCTTCTGCAGGTTTTATTTTGACTAATTAATGATACAGACTTGGAGGTGTGAAGCAAGGCAGAACTACCTATTTTTTTTTTGAGGAAGATCAGCCCTGAGCTAACGTCTGTGCTAATCCTCCTCTTTTTGCTGAGGAAGACCGGCTCTGAGCTAACATCTATTGCCAATCCTCCTCCTTTTTTTTCTCGCCAAAGCCCCTGTAGATAGTTGTATGTCATAGTTGCACATCCTTCTAGTTGCTGTATGTGGGACACGGCCTCAGCATGGCCGGAGAAGCGGTGCATCGGTGCGTGCCCCGGATCCGAACCCGGGCCGCCAGTAGTGGAGCGTGCGCACTTAACCGCTAAGCCATGGGGCTGGCCCCCACCTATTGTTTTAATCACCCTTGACCTTAATGTTTTTAATGCCATGAGAATGTGGTCTCTGATTGGCTGAATGATGCCTTCTCTCGAGTAGCTGATCCTTCAAGTAAGAATCTAAAAGTCTCTTTTAAGGTGAGGTCAGAGGTTAACCCTAGACCAAGAAAACCCAAATAAAGCACTCATGACTGTTTATCTAAAATACTTGCCCAGCCCTGTAATATTCTAAGGAAGGTCGGCTCCCTCTTGTGGCCTAAAACCATGTGTCAATTTGTTCTACCTCTTTGGCTGTGCTATTTAAGAGGAGCCAGTCTTTTGCCAACTGCACTTTGGGCTTTGTAACTTTTCATTTCATACTATTGGCGGGAGAACAGGCACGGCCCTGGCACAACTATGAGAGAGATATACCGGGCTTTTTTACCTCTCATGCTCCCAACTTGTCCTTCTCTCCTCCTCTTGTGGGAAGGGTGGTGGGGTATCTAACTCTCATTCTAGGAATTCAATATTCTCATGCTCTCTATCTTCCTATCAAAGTCTCTTATTTGTTTTACTTAGCCCAAAGAATGAGTGAATAATAACCTCTTAAAATATCACCATGCAATCAGATTGGTTTCACAAAAAAAAAAAAAAAAAGAATTAAAAGAATTAAATCAATTGATTGAATTTGGAGTATTAAAGAATGGAATATAAAATATGAGATCCATGGAAGGTAGGCATAGCCTTTAGAAATGATATATCATGTGGGCCAGAAATTGAAAACTCAGACTAAGTGGTTTTTTCTAGTTCTCAGTCACTTTTTCTTTTGCTCACTTTGTTTTTTAAAAATGTAAATTAGTTTCCATCATTTAAAAATATAGAGATTTCATGGGGCCGGCCCCATGGCTTAGTGGTTAAGTGCGCGCAATCCACTGCTGGCGGCCCAGGTTCGGATCCCGGGCGCACACCCACGCACCGCTTCTTTAGCCATGCTGAGGCTGCGTCCCACATACAGCAACTAGACAGATGTGCAGTTGTGACATACAACTATCTACTGGGGCTTTGGGGGTAAAATAAATAAATAAAATCTTTAAAAAAAAATATAGAGATTTCATATAATAATAAAACGTAACTTGGATTTCTGGCTTTTTAGACAAGATTGAAAGATTTGACAACAGGGAGTCCACATTCCCTCAGGGCAACAGTCAATGGAAGCTGAATAATAGCCAATCATTTTAGAGCAAGCACACATCCTCCATTTCACCACAGACTCCACCACTCCCTATAGTGTCATGGTTTACCCATTTCCCTCAATTTGTATGTGCTTGACTCCTGTAACGTTGAGATTATGACTCTGTAAGCTTGTAGCATGTAAGGTCCATTTATATTCTAATTATGGTGGATCTTTGGGCCTTAGTCTCACAGTACATTTTTTTTTTAACTGAATAATAGTGCAAGGACCCATATCTGTCCAGGGTGGGGAGTGCAGTCCAAAAAGATACTGTCTTCATAGGGCAGGCCGACCTGGAAATCTCAGGGCATGAAACTGTGAATGTGCAGGCACTGGGGTGTGCCAAAGTATAGATGTATTTGGACTTAATACAGAGTAACAAGAATGTCAACAACAATAGCTAAAAGAAAATATGGATTTATCTATGTTTAGGCTGTTTCTGTAAGTCTTTATTTTTACTGGTTTATTGATACCATTGGACATATGCTACTTATTATTCAGTTTGATTATGTCTAGCCTCTCCCACTCCTAGGTTGTGGGAAACTCTTGGAAGACAGATCTCCTGCTGTAGTTCTTTTCCATTTCTTTCCTTTCCTCTTCTTGTCCCCCCATTTTCCATAAAATAAAACACATCAAAATAATACATGCTTTAGAGCTATAGCTATTCAAATAGAAGTTTCATCTCTTTCCTAGCTGCTGCTCCTTTCCCTTTGCTGGATAAGGATGGAATTCTGTGAAACTTTTGTTTTTTTCTCCTTTTAGGGTTTAGAATGAGACGGCGCCATGTCCTCATGGCATCCACGGGGCCTTCAGGGCATTGCCCTCATTTGGTGGAATTTCTTCCCTGTGAGGATCCAGTGTGTTATCGATGGCTGGCATCTGAAGGGATCTGTATCGCTGATCATGGAAAATGTGGCCTGGGACATCGCATCCTGAAGGCTGTCTGCCAGAATGACCAAGGTATGAGGCCAAGAAACACAAGGATTGTTAAGTAATGTCCGCCAAATGACACATTACCACTCCCCAACAGGTCATTTTCCTGAGGGAGGGAAACACAGTCCTTCCTATCCTTGAATATTGATGTTTAAGGTAAGTGACACGTTGCTGCAAAGTAAGCTGCCTTGACTTAATATGGAGCCACATGCTCCATGACAAAAGAACACTATTTGGTTATACCTAAATGCAATACAGTGGACCAAGAGATTTCTCTGGAGTTTTTAGTTTATCAGGACAAATAGAATACAGAAATCATTGGGATAGTCCTCAACTTATCAATGCAAAACAAGTTTATTGGCCTGTTTTGAAGTTGATATGTAGCATGCTTTTATATATTATTAACAACATAATAGGGCTGCAACTCCCTCCAAGTTAAAAAGAAAAAAAAATACTAAGCTATATCTTTTCATTTCTATAACATTAGACTAGAATCAGTTCTAGACATAATACTAACATTTCTAAAGAACCATTTTGAAATGTAAGTTGTCAAGATTTACAAAACTATTAACAATGGTATCTTTCCTTCATCACCAAGCTTCTAGTACAGTGGTTGTTTGAAATAAGGTACAATTTAGAAAATATGTAAGTCACATGGAAATCAGAAAAGTGACATTCAAAACTATCCTACAGTTAAAAAAAAAATTCAGTCTCTTGGAAGAACATCAGGTATGTCTGTTAATCAGCTCTACCTTGAGAAGTCCCATTTATAAGGCTCTTGGTATGTGGAGTGAAATGTTTTGACTTATGAAGTGAAGTAATCCATGGAACAGAAGGAAATTACAAAGTGGATTCAGAATGGTGGTTGTTTCCTTAAATAGAGGGCAATGACAGATTGTATTAGCTATAGTCCTTTTTGACTAAATAGTTAAAACGAATATTGGCTTCTAATATTACCAAATAATTTTTGAATTGTGGTAACATACATGCAATTTATTAACAGAAGGCAAATAAGATCACTTTTGTATTGCTTTTCTTTGAATTCAGGAAGAGTAGGATAGAAGTTTAAAATCTGGGCTCTAGAGTCAAACAGGTTGGAATTTCAAGTCTGCTACTCATCTACTAGATGATCCCAGGAAAATTATTTAACTGTGGAGGAATCTTTCAGCTATAAAGTGGAGATAAAAAAACTTACCTCTCACTCTTAGATTGTGTGAGTTAAATTGGTTATGTTAAAGTGATTAGTGAAGTGCCTGGCACATAACCATTCAAAATAAGCTATAAACTTATTTTACTTATGTGGGGGATCAGAATCGGCCACCCCAAAATGTGTTTCTTTGGTTAAGGACAAAAGACTCTGAAAGAAACTTTGACATTCCCCCTAACTGCCTAAAAGAATTTAAGGTAGAAGGCCTGTCCCGAGTACAGGCCATCATCATAGATATCTCTGGGTATAGATAGACTGTGAGGGTCCTTGCTAAGCCCATTCTTATCAAAGGTCTGTCTGCCAAACATTTGCTTTTCCATTTCCATGTGAATTGCCCTCTTCCCATTTCAAGTCCCACTACCCCCAACATCCTCCTTTGTCTTTAGCTGAAGATGATATTTAAGGTGACAGCTTTGGCCATTCTGGCGAGTTACTCAGCTTTCCTGGATTTCTCCCATGTTTACATGATATAAAGCTTTGTTTGATTTTCTCCTGTTTTTCTGTCTCATGTCAATTTAATTCTTAGACCAGCCAGAAGGACCTAGAGGGTAGAGGAATTGTCTTCCTCCCCTACACTTACAGTGCCCATTTATTACTGTGCTCTGTCCTGGGGGAATAGTGCAGAGGGCCTTTTATAAAATGAAAATAATAATGAGTATTAGAATAACCATGCTACTTCTTCCTCCCACCCTCCAGCTGTGTAAACCAGAAGATAATTTGGTTGAGACCCAATGACAGATGACTGTTATGCTTTGTCATCTCATATCAGGTATTGGAGGCTTGACAAACCTGATATATTATGTCCATGGGGCTGTGGATTTCTTTCACATGAAAGAAATTGTACTGTGCCTCCTATAATATTGCAGAGTGTGATATTTTGATTTATAATTAGAAATATATATTTGGTCTTTGTCCCCATTTCTGTCACAGAGCTCCTAAAACCCTTGGAATTTCCTGGGTGATAAGAGCAATGGAAGCATCTTTTCTTATAATATTTGGTCTCATGTCCTCAGTTCCTGAAATCACTTTCATAAAGGTGAAATGGGTGTCTTGTTATTCTTAGCAAGCCCTTTTTCACCACTACTGGATTTATCTTAATGAGGTAACTTTTGGAAAGCACCTAAGGATAGGGGCTTGTTGCCAAGGGAACCAAGCATGAATAAAAGGTTGAGACTTTCAGTCCTGCTCCCTGATTTCTGGGGAGGGAAGAGGGTCTGGAGGTTGAATCAATCACCAATGGCCAATGATTTAGTCAATCATGCCTATGTAATGGAAGCTCCATGAAAACCCAAAGGACAGGGTTTGGAGAGCTTCTGGGTTGGTGGACATGTGAAGATTTGGGGAGAGTGGCACATGGAAGATCCGTGTGCTTTCCCCATAGGTTGCCCTGTATATCTCTTCCATCTGGCTGTTCCTGAGTTATATCCTTTCATAATAAACTGTTTATCTAGTAAGTTAAATGAATTTCCTGAGTTCTGTGAATTGCTCTAACAAATTAATCAAACCCAAGGAGGGGGTTATGGGAACCTCTGATTTATAGTCAGTTGGTCAGAACCACAGTTAACAACCTAGAGTTGAAGGGGAGGGGATCGTTGGAGAGGGTCGTTGGAACCTCCAGTTAGTAGCTGGTCAGTCAGAAGCACAGGTAACGTGGGCTTTCAATTGATATCTGAAGTTGGAGAGTGGTCTTGTGGGACTGAGCCCTTTACCTATGGAATCTGATGCTCTCTCAGGGTAGTTGGTATCAAAATTGAGTTGAGTCGTAGGACCCTGAGCCACTGTTGAGAATTGCTTGGTGGAGTGTGGAGAACACTACCCCCCATGCACACACACATTGAAATTGGGTGCAGAACCCTTTTTACAGAAGTATCAACTTTACCATTTTACAGCAGTTCTAGAATTTTATTGCTTATTCCTTTGAAATAATAATTTTCAGCATTGACCTACACTCTCAATTTCTATGGGGAGAAGTAGGAATGACTACTGGTTCATATCAGTTCTATGAAGTCTTTGTGGTTTTTAAATACCTGCATGACTCCATCATTTGTGGGGCAAGAGCCACAGTCACGGTTACGAGAACAGGCTGGCCTCCTGATAGCTGAAGCAGTCTTTTGTCTAGTGAGAAATTGAAAATGTGATCTGGTTGCACTTTTCTCAGTTGAGCTTCTATGAGATGCTGGATGATTGATGATAGAAGTTTGGCAGAGAAGTGCTCCTGTTTGACTCTCCACATATTATCATTGTCTTTCCATAGCTGTAGGAATTGACAGAACTGTTGACACTCATTTAAATGCTTGGAGAGAAGAAAGGGTTGAGATATTTATTAAGTCTCCTGTGATTTTTTTTCTTATAACATTTGATAGTTTTCTTTTCATCACTCTGAGTTTATTAATTGTTTCATAGGCCTTGTATTTCAGAATTTATTCAGAGAGAAGTGGATGAGACCAAGAGAAATAAGTCATCTTTTTGATTAAAAAAACAAATTCATATTAGATCTAATCAGATTTGAGGTTTGCTATAATTTTCGAGGTAACTTGCTTTATCTCTTATTTTTAGGCCTGTCCATATTGACTCACTCCAGGTATCCTGCTTGCCAAAGGAACATTCAACATCCTTCCAAAATATTTACATCCCCTTCAGATTGTGGAGACAAGTGATTTCCATGTAGCCATGATCAAGTGTCTATAGGACTCTTGACAGTGTCTTGTTGAGCATTACTCGTATCATTAGGAAGACATAGTTCTCTTCCCCAGAAGTTCGTCCAGACTGTTCATTAGCTTGGAAACTTCAAAAATACACATTCTATGTCACAATGAAGCCAGGAAATAACTGGAAATACCAATTCGATATACCTAAAACTTTGGATTAGTTTAAGAATGTGATCTGCTTTGGACTACCTAAGATCCAAGTAGTAGTGTATGAATTTTTGTAGCTATCTCTAAAGATGTGCTTTGACTCATTCTCTACTTTGATTTATTAATGTTACTGCCCAATCAGTCTCACTAAAGTTCCTATTTCTCACCCAGCCTGTGATTGTAGTTTGTTAGTCAGTTATATTTATTTGCAGGAAAAAAATGGTATAGTAGATTACATGAATGAGTATTCCGATTTGAAATCTGATTTCCAGTACTTTGATTGGTGGATCAGCTTTGATTTCTCTCTTCTGTACAACATCTTATCAATAGTAGGGGTCAATAGAAATCTACTGAGTTGAGAGTATAGCTAGTTTTTTCTTGTCTTGTTGACAAGCACATTTCCTACATTTCAAAGGGGGTGTTTGAAAGTAAATGGAGTGCGATGCAAACTGCAAGCCCAACATATTTATCTTTCAGATTATTAAGTTAGTTTACTGTGTGTTAAACTTCATTTCTCTACCGTGTAACTGGTTCATTGTTGCTTGGTTTCATTGACAGTTGATACCACTGTGTGACATCTCCCCAGAGCAGGTTGGGAAAATCCCCATACTGGCAGCACAGAGGACAGCATTCCCAGCAGCTGGCAGGTGACCACTCTTTATCAACTTTCATGTGTCCATAATGCACAGTGGAAAGATGACGCTGTAGGGTCATTGGATAAACACCAGCCTGCCTGCTGGAGCCCTCAGACCCTGAGTACTCACCGCATGATTTGCTCCATAATTTACCAAATAGGCTGTCTTGATAAAAACAGTGCCTGTATATTTCAGCAGACATCTTTATTCAGAGATAATGCAGTGTACACTCTGTACTTTTTGAAAGCAAATACTCACGGTAGTGAAGAGTATAATACATCAGGAAGAACAAAGTTCTCACGTTGACAGGTATGTGGAGTTAGAGTCCTC